TTGTATGAAACATGTTTCTACCAAAGAAAATCCTAAAATGATAAATTTGATGAACCTATGTTAGGTTGCATTTTCATAAATATGGGAAGTTCTCATTGAAAGTGTGGACTTTTTGCTAAGGTAAAATCCATTTTGGAAAGGTCTAGAAAATTCACATTTTATCAACAGATACTTTATATCGGGGTGTCAAACTGAAACCGCGCCCACCCCATTGCTGGCAATGGAAAAAAGTCACGACACGTCACGTGACGTTGTGAGTTTGACACCCCTGCTTTATATTGATAATGTTATGAAGATGTATTCATAGGATTACATCACTGTGTCTATGAAGGAACTTTAGCATTTTTAATTCCTCTGAGATGCAGCTATTTAGTGGGAAAGAAAACCAAGAACTTAGCAGTATCTCAAAACTGCAGCTCCACAAACACTAATTAATCATTCCTGCACCCGGTGCCTTTTCTGGCAGTCCTAAAAGGAAGAGAAAATATTTTCATTAATACATTTTGATTGAATTAGTCTCCAGAGTTAACTATTTTTATTTGTCATGATAAGGAAACAGCAAACTGTTACTCACTTAATTTACTGCTACAATGTTTTTACTGCCAAAAAGGAAAAGAAGACTGTGTGGGATTTTCAACCTCCAGTACTCAACATAGTAGGACTGTTGTTCAATCATGTGCACACCAGCTTCCTGACCTCATGAAACACTTTGGTGACCATAGAGAGTCTCCTCATCTTCCCCAGAGACCTAAATGCCCAACTCTCTTACTTTCTGCATCCACCAAACAGTGTTTTTTTTTTCCTGGATGAGCATCTGATATCATTACCTAATAAGTTTTCCTCCCTCCAGTAAACTTTGTAGATGCTTTTTATCCAACTTTGATATGGTTACTATCTCTAATCTGATTCTTCTCTCCTTTTGTGCTTTGGGACTCTCATTGTTTCCCCATCACATTTTTATTCTTCAGCTTCCTTCCTGCCATATACGCCTTGTCACCTAGAATAATTTTGGTTCTTGTCTATTGTTTTCTCTGACAGCAGATAATCTATTTTTCATCTCTGGATTTCACTCTGTCTTTATTTTGTCATACGTTTCTATGCTAATTATAGTTGTCACTCTGCTGAAGAAGCTATTCCTATTGAGATAGATTCCAGATCCCACACACTGCTGAAGTCACTCACTCACTCAGCTCCACCACAATGGCACGGCCTATCTGTTGTCATTGATATGATTTCTCTGAGAGATGCAGGCTAAAATTTTCATTTCATCTTGGCTGAGAAGAAGAAAAAATCCTATTAATGGCTTTCCAGTAGTAAGTTGATAAGACTGTATGGTCAAATCCAAACTATGTAAAAATGATAAGTATTTTTCTTTACATTAAACAAGTCTTTGATTCATTTAAAGTACAGGTAGTCTTCAACTTATGACTGTGATTGGCTTCAGAATGTCCTTTGCTAAGCAGGGGAGTTGCTAAATGAATCAATTTTATAATCTTTTTTGCCATAGATGTTAAATGAATCACTGCAGTTATTAATTGAATCACAAGGTCTTTAAGCAAATATGGCTTTCCCCATTAACTTTGCTTGGCAGAAACCAGCTGGAAAAGTCACAAATGAGATCACATGACTCTGGGATGCTGCAACCATCATAAATAAATGCCAGTTGCCAAGCCCTCGAATTTGGATCATGCAACCTTGGGTAACGGTTGTAAGTCGGAGGACAGCAAGTCACTTTTTCAGTGCTGTTGTAACTTTGAACGGTCACTAAATGAATGGATGTGAACTAAGGACTATCTTAGTTATTATGGTTTGATTCAATTTAAGACTGCTATATTAATAGATATATTATAAGGATTGATTTCACAGTTTTACTTGTAAAATCTATTATTATAAAATGATGTTTATCATCTTATTTTATTTATTTATGAACTTTTAGTAATCAAACCTAAATCTTGCCACAATCTCAGGACTCTTGGTGGCTCACAAAATAAGAATATAGAGTAAAATTTAATATATATATATATATGAAAGAAATAAAATCCCAAACATAGATCATGTTTGGGACCTAAGACCTCTGTTTTCAGCTTTTTCCAGGAAGCAGACAATATCAGAAATAGACATGATATAGATATGGAGTCATCTCCAATAGGAGGTCTATACCATAATTTCTTTTAGATTGGAATTCCGATCTAAAATTATTTAAAGCTGCCCACCCAATTTTTATAAGACAGGAAAGGAAAAGAAGCATAGTATGACATAGTAGGACTGTTGTTGAATATCTTGACTTGGAGAAAAGAGATCTCTGTTTCTTGCCTCCTTCAAGAAACAAAATGTTCGTATGCCTATTGTATTTAAGCCAGTGTTTTTCAAATTTGGCAACTTTAATATGTGTGGACTTCAACTTCCAGAATTCCCCAGCCATATGTTGGCTGAGAAATTCTAGGAATTGAATTCCACATATCTTAATGTTGTCACGCTTGAAAAATATTGATTTAAGCCCTGCCTTATTTTTGCTAAGATACTTGCTTTACATTTTTAAAAAAAATATTTTCATTTTACATGTTACTGAACAGATGTTTCAAGCACTAATAATTAAGTGGGTAACAAACTATTTTTCAGAAATGCTTTCCCAGTTCTGATGGCCGGCTTCTGTTTTGAACACTCTGGGCCATTTAGAACTGAGTGCTTCTCAACACAGATAGGGCGCTTCTACCCCAAGGAGATTGTGCCATTTTGAAGACATGTCAGCTAAGTCTGAAGACTATGCTTATTTATTTATAGCTTAGGAAAAAGTCACCTTTTGTTTCAACCACTGCAACTCTGTAAACCTTAACAGCTAGTCTTCCTTTGTA